TTGAGGGGCCAATAATATGAGAGAAGCTGCGGCGGAGGTATCATAACTTCCAGATCACTGCAGCAGACGAGATTTAGTCTCAGATGAAACCTTAGAGAAAATCTGCTTTATAATCGGTTGCACATGCAGAGGGACAGAGAAGCAGATTAGCAATTAGACGTCTTCAGACCACCAAAACAATGAATGACAGCGGTAAGAAATACAATCATGTTCACAAACTTGGAAACTTGATGGTTGTTCGTGGCCTTGTAAGGGGCAAAGAGAGTAGCCTTTAAATTATGAGGTATTGATCGACAAACTCTGTAGTGTTTCAATGTGCTCTAAAAGGATGTCAGAGATCTTGAGCTAAAGATTAGCACCATCACACTGTGTTCCTGCTAGAGTTTTGTCTTTATTGGTTAAAGACATACTAGAATATGGATGATTATCTGTCATCCTGGCTTAAAACAGAACCTTCAAGTCTGCATCCTTACAAACTGAATGACCATGCCTCAAGTATTTCATTTTGTTACAACATTTGAACCAGTTGAAACTCAGTATGTTTTTTTTATGTTGAAGCAGAAAACATTTGTATTCATTTTGTCCTCCCCTCCACCAGGACCAAGACTGTGCTGATCGCCCAGGCTGAGGCAGAGAAAATCAGGAAGATCGGAGAGGCTGAGGCCTCCTCCATTGAAGCAGTGGGAAAGGCGGAGGCTGAGAAGATGAGACTGAAGGCTGAGGCCTATCAACAGTACGGAGAGGCAGCTAAGACTGCCCTGGTCCTCGAGGCTCTTCCCAAGGTAAACCATGGAGGGGTTCTCCAAGTGTCCGTAAAAGTTCCTGAATGCATCACACTCCTCTGATCACCTGTACTGTAGGTTTGTGTAAGAAACTTCATTTAGAGCGCCGTGGTTTGTTCCTTGTAGAAGGAAGTGTGCACATTAAGTTAGATTGAAAACTGTCTTTAGTTGTTCTAATTTCGGAGCATTAGCAATAAAGAGTTAGTTTGGTATTTTGGAAAATAGGGTTATTGGCTTTCTTTACGTGACCCCTGTCACATAAAAATGAAGCAACAGCAATCAAACATTAGCCTTTCAAAAAGACTTGAAAGAGGGGGAACAGCTAGCCTGGCTCTGTCTAAATAAACGTATTTGACAAGTATAATCCCTCCAGCATCCTACAACATAATCACCCAGGGAGCTGTGAAGCACTTTTGAGCTCTCAAACCTCAATCCAAAACTGAAAAGTAATTTTCCCCGAGTTATGAAGTATAAGTGGTATTTTCTTCTAGGCTGCGTAAACATATTTAAATGAAAATGACAGATTTGACAAAGGAGACAGCAGACAGAGTGTCAGAGGAACGTCAATAGTGTGTGACTGTTGAAATGCTTTCCTGTGATGGATGCAATGAAAGTCCCTAACATTTCACCTGTATACTTTCCCCAAGTTATGAAGTATAAAACTGAGGCTAAAGTCAGCATGACAACATAGCTTCAGCTTAACAATTCACAACTCATGGGACTATGACTCATGTCACACATGATCACTAACTTTAGATTTTGATTATTCCAGCCTACAGTTAACACTTTCACCGTGTCTTGCAGATTGCTTCCAAAGTGGCAGCGCCATTAGCCAAGACCAACGAGATCGTCATCCTGAGCGGGGAGGGCAGCCGCGTGACGGGTGAGGTCAACCGTCTTCTGGCTGAACTTCCTGTGTCGGTCAATGCCCTCACAGGAGTGGACTTGTCAAAGGTAAGTAACCTTACCGGTGTATAGATTTATAACAATGTAAATGTCGACATCATGTTAAGATTTAAGGAATTCAAGTATTTAATCAAATCTTAAAGTATGGTTTTAAACAAAGACTGAAAAGCTGCACGATTCTGCTTTTTGAATATGATTCTGTTTCTAACAGTGCTGATTCATTTTACGTATCATACAAACGCAAACCTTCATTTGTCGTTGGTGTTCATTGCCATCCAGCTCGAGACATCAGGGGTTACTGTCTTGAGTTGACCTTATTCGAGTAGCAAACGCCCACATTTTAAACACCTCCAATTCAAGTGCAAGAAGTGACATAAACATGAAAGCCTCGTCATTTTTTCTCAGACTTCAGTGACCTCCTCCAGAGACACTTATGACTTTAAACAGCTGTTTTCACAGGCTGAGTGGGGGTCCACACAACCACCAAACTGAACCATTGAAATGTGTCCTTTATGTCTGGACTTGACATCTGGCATTCAAAGCAGTCTCACTTTTGTGGTCAATTTTAAGAAATAAAAATAAAGATTGTGTCTCAAATGATGCATTTTGCTGCACATCAGCATCCTAACGATCACCATCACCACTGTTTGAAACTGTGTTTATCGCAACATTCATTAAAACTATGATATTGAAGAGAACCAGCTAAAACATCTATTTCATATGACAGTGTGTAGGAGAGGAATCAATCCATCAAACATTTCAAGCAAACACTTTCAGACTGTCTAAATTGCCCACGTTTGTACAATGTATTTGTGCAGCAGTTTTCCTTATGTGTTCAAAAACTATGAATAGAAGAATTGTAAGTTCTTGAAGGCATGTATCTTACCTGTGGATAATTCATAATGGCTTGTACTGGAGTCTCAGCGTTTCACTTAAAGGTTGAATGAATGTCTCTTTCCTCAACAGATCCCGCTGCTGCAGAAAATGGCCGGTACTCAAGCCTGAGAGCAGTGACTCCACATGACTTCAGTAACTGTTGTATGCACTCTTGATAGACTGCCTTTAATACACTTGAAGAATTTTGTTGTTTTATACGTATATATACTGTATACCAAGTGAATTTTGGAAACCTCTGGTGCCTTACTTTATACAGGACCAGAATATCTGCATGCACTGCTGCTCATTCAACAATGTTTTTATTTGGTTTTGAACATGGGAACCTTTTTTGTTATTATTATTTTCAAATATATATTGGCCCATTTGTATGAAATGTCATTGAATTGGAGAGCTGTTTGCTATACCTACTGACACTCACTCAGGTTCGATCCAGCTGGTGACTGACAGCAGATGTTAACACATACTCTTTGATATTTGTACATCAAGGCCTTTTCTTTTTTCAGACACCTAGGCGTGTTTCTCGGCCTTTTTGCTGATTTATATACCTCTTTCTTTATTTTATGACACATCTGCATTCCCTTGATAATCTGAATATTTTTATTGTACTTGTGGAGTTTTTGTTGTATTGCACATGTTGTATTTTAACTTTTGCCGTAATTCAGGTTAATTTACGTCTCAGTGATTCATTTTACAATGTAACAGGTGCTCACAGTCTTTATAGAAGCCCTTTCATTGTTCAAGTTTTGTCGGCTCCTTTGCAAGAAGTTTCATTCTCTACAAACTGTGGCTTGCAGGCATTATAGATACAACGTTTATTCACATGCTGACAAGACGACTGAAGGCAGTTTCAGCTCATGTGCTGATATAGTTGGCATGTAATTTGGTCCTGTAATATTTTGTGTACATTTTAATGTAAGTTTAAAAAAAAGTGTGGGCCTTAATTTAGGTCAAAAAAAAGGTTCCTTGTTGTTGGAAGAAAAAAAAATCACCAGGAAGAGGGCCAATTGAAGAAACGGCTCGCTTGGAGTTAAAATGTGTTTATATTGTGGAAAAAAGTTTCATGTGAATAGATTCTAAAAATGAAACAAACAGTGATGCCAAATAGAATAGATCACAGTTTAAGTTTACTTGTATGAAAAGGATTTAGCAAACGTCATAGATTATCTGATGTTTAATTTCATTCTATAGATGCTAAACTTTAGATGCTAAATCATGTTTGACAGGGTGTGTCAACAAATCAACGTTTTACACTTGTCAGAGAAACACAGTTCCTGTTTGATGTTTGTTCCTCTTTTATTTATTTTTATTTAAATTGTGACATCAGTTATAGAAGGATATTTAAGCAGAGTTCTTTAATCTATTAAACTATTTTTCATCTGTATTAAGCCATGATATCACTGTTTGTAAATGCTCAAAACGCTCTGTTGTTTGGCGCTTTAGTACACTTAATGTGAAGTTTCAGTGCAGCAGTAAAAATGATCTGTGGCAGTTATCTGTCAAAGGTTTAGAGGGAAAAGACTGTGGGGGCATAACTAGTTGACCCCCTCCTATGAAATGTGTTTCATGCTAAAATGAAAATGTGTTTAGTTTGAACCTCGTATCTAAAACGGTTGACACATCAAACACAGTAGTAGTTTTATATATGGCTGAAGAAACAGCCAGTATGAGAATACCAACGCAGAATTAACAGACGACTGTTATTGTTGTTGTTAACATTGATTATTGTGCCCGTCCTCAGTTTGATTTATGTTTGTATCATTCTGTGACTTACTGTGACCATTGATTTGATCAGCTTTAAATGTGTCCGTTGTATAGATGACAGAGTTAAGTTATTTCCTAATGTTAATTACAACATGTACATTGTGTGTCTCAAACAAACACGAGTTCTTGTATGTGCTTGCTGCATGTCATCCTCCTGTACACAGACTAACCGGTTCACTCCTAGAGAAATGTCATTCTAATAAATCCAAAATGCCATCATTTATTTTATTTATTTATTTTTGGGGCCATTTTCACACCGCAAATGTTTTTAATACTCCTGACTAAGCTTCAGGTTACATCAACAGACACACACTTACTGGTATGTAATCTCTCAAGAGACAATAAAACGAGATTTGAGTCATAATTGTTTTTGGAGGCTTTTTATTTCAGTCTTTTATTTGTTGGTAGTCTTATATCTTGATCATTTATTATTATTTCTGAGGAAAAACACGGAATAACTCCTTTATTTTGTGTTATTTAACTTGCCTCTTAAATAAAACCTTTGCCCGGTTGTGGAGAGTAAAAAAAACAAAAAACAGAATCTTAAATCGCGTTTCCGGGGAGAGGGGGCGGGGGGGGGATTATCGCACAGGCGTTGGCCGTTGCTGCCTAAATGCAGAATCGGGTCCTTCCCATTTGCGCATGCGTGATAAATGTTGCTGCCGTAGCCGGACAGCAGCACGGAGAACCAACACAGAGGGGATGATCTCTTTATATTTATAAACCCATATCAACGTTATATCTCCACAAAATGAAGTTTCCCTACTCATAGATCCGTGGAAGTAAGTATAAATCTCTGTTTTGAGTCGTCATGTTGGTGTTTTTCCCTCAATTTAAAAGCCAAAGTTCGGCTACCAGCTGGCCTGCACAGCACAAAGAAGCTCCTTATTTATTGTGGTGCTGCTTCACTCGAGGTTACACATTTAACCATTTGATTTGACCATTTTCTAATTTTTCTTACGGGAATGTTTCGTGGCCAACGTAATCTGTCCTGTTTTTTTAATCTGAAATAGTCTAAATTGATGAGATTATTAAAATAAGTGGAGCAGATTGCAGGACAGATGGCTAACGTTACCTTAGCTGCAGTCAGGCTGTCTGAAAGTTAAACCCAGCCGTCTGCATGATTGCATGAAATGTTTCTGGTTTGATACGTTTAAAAAAACAAAAAACCCCGACTAGGATTATCTAAGGCGTTAGCTGTGGACGAGCCCCACAGCTTCCCACGGTAAGTGTTTCCCGTGTCTGTGTAAAAAGGTCACATTATCCTGCCTGCATTAATGAAGATCCTCTTTTCCAACACTCACTGCGTCATCCCTTTGGAGGCAGAGCCCACACAGCTCAGGAGCTAAATGTTATTGTATATAAGCTTTCCAAACATGTCCTTTTATATGTCTAACACACTGAGTTACAATCTTGAATTAAAACTGATCCAAAAGATGGTTTCACTAAACAAGTCAGTAAAGAATTTAAAGCCAGACACAAGGGATGAATCATAAAACCGTCTGCAAGTCTGATGATGAATCTGCAACATGATGTGACTGTACCATGAGAAAATGTTATTGCTTCACAGATCCTGTCTCATTTCCCTTCCAGCAAAAGAGACTTAGACTTTCTTTATTGCCATTCAAACTAAGATCGACGTGTCGTTGCATTTGGCTCGTTGCAGTGCAGGATAAAAAAACAGCAGCAAATATTGACATAGAAAAAATAAGGTGTAGATATAAAAACAAAAGCTTTGTGTAAAATTACTATACAGATAAATATATTGCACGTTTGTGATGTATGTTATATTGTATTCTACAGTCCAGTGAGGTCGTCCTGTGTTCACAAGTCTTCTGGCCTGTGGGAAGAAGCTGGTACAGAACCTGGACGTTCTGCTGCTTCGGAGGCTGTGGAACCTCTTGAGGCAACAGAAGCTGCAGTTACTCTCAGACCGATGATTATTTTCCTTTTCCATTAGTCTGTCACTGGGGCTCTGGGTATTGCCTAATGGCCAATGTTGTGAACACTGCTTCTTTGTGTAATACCTCTGATATAAGCTAACAACACGTTTCAGCTTGTGACTACTGCAACAAAGGCCAAGGCCTTATCACTAGGGCAAAAACTATGAGTCAGTAAATGTTTTATTTCAATAATAAAACAATAATTTTAAGATAGGTTACCAGCATTTCCTAGTTCAACCCTCTGAGTTTTGATGATATGCTGTCTTGTGATTTTGAATTATAATACATTTTATTTTGGCTTTTGGTGGGACAAACTAATTTTTTAAGAGTGGCACTTATTGACTGATTTTAAAATGATTGATCATCATTAATCATCCATTATCATGGAATAATTGGGAGACTCAGTTGTGACTTACAGCGATCATTAATCGATGACTACTTATCTCTTGTATTGAAAACATGTTAGAGATTGAGCAAAAACTTTATCTGTTGAAATGTTATTCATCTTTATGACTTGAAAATGGTAGCTTGAAACATATAAGCATATGCAGAGGTATAACCTACTCTGGTAGATTTACTTAAATAACATTTGGCAGACTCATCATCAATTTACAGATGGCATGTAAATTATCACTGAAATACCTAATTACTTGAATTAGTGGGATATATCTTTATTTTGGGCTTTTCGTGCCTTTAATTCAGAGAGAGGACAGTGGATAGAGTCGGAAACCAGGGAGAGAGATCGGGGAATGACATGTGGAAAGGGGCCACGGGTGGAAGCGAACCCGGGCCTGCCCTCAACACATGGGACGCGCGCCCTAACCATTGCGCCACCAGCGCGTCCTAATTAGTGGGATATTTTATCGTTTTCTTTTCCTAGAGGTATTTGACGAAGCTTATATATCCGCTGAAATTATGTCTCAGACATGTGCAGCGCTTCTTTGTCGAAACAGGAATTCAACAAGAGATTAAAATGCAATTAGATTTTGGATCAATGCTTCAATATCAGTAGGTCTACATTCCATTATATGACCAATAAAACATCTTCAGCAGAGGAATGTGGTCTTTATTCACTCTGTCCTTAGTGAGTATGAAAATCAAAGTTGATTGGCTTGCAGTCTGCCACCACAATGGGTCTGCTTTCATGATTTTTTCCCCCATCTGAGTTCTTTGCTAGCTGCAGGGTGAACACTGTGAGCTCTTAAAGAATCATGATGTCGGCTATTAAAAAATGGCATTTGCAAAAGGTCAAACTGAACTGGATGTGAAATAGGCGATAGCAAAGTCATTTCACACCAGCTTAAGTGTCTGTCAGCAGCTGATTTACGCCTGCTCTGTTTCTCCACAGTATGGTGAGGGGAAGGTGTCTCATGCTGCATTAGTGGAATAGTGACATGCTGGCCTGTCTGCCAGCATCAGGTGACCCTACCATCAGACTTCTCTCCCGCACGCAGATGAACACTGGACTTCAGAAATGTAAGTGCTTTCCTCCAACATATTGTTTTATCCATTTCTCTGTTCTGTCCTCACTGGTAAGCACCAGGGAACAGACACTGTGTTGCACATTTATACAAAGGTTCCCAATATCATGTGTTCATGATATAATAAAATGTACATGATTAAGTGTAATTGAGCAGGATTATGTCATTATGACTGACACATGACATTTTCTGTTGCTCGATGAGCAATGTAATCATGTTTCTTATGTTTCTCAGCAAGTGTAGGCATTATAATGTACTGAACAAACAAACTCGCTTAAAGGTTAAATAGCAACATACATGACCCGGTTAATACTTTAGGTACATGTTTATTTTTGTTGCTGAAAACTTTTTTTTGCTTCAGCCGACCATTAGGGCCACATTTGATGCAAACCGTACTAACGAAAGTGAAACAAACTTTTGTTGTGTTTGCTATGATAGATTAAATAATTACTTTACAGAGAGCTGGAGCAGAAAGAGGTGCAAGGCAGTTTACACATCTGTATACATATTTCATTCCTACACTGCTCATTGTCGTTAAACTCAGTGTTGAAGTATATTTCAGATTATAGAGATGTGATTTTTTTAGTATCTCATCAATGGCTTTATACACATTTCAGGGGAAACTACACAGAAGATGAGATCTGCCAACTATCCAACCCCAGCAGAGTTGGATGCCTATGCTAAGAAAATTGCCAACAACCCTCTTACTATCCAGATTTTCCCTAACAGTGTCAAAGTACCTCAGAGGAAGCACATTCGCCGCACAGTAAACGGTCTTGACACATCTTCGTCCAGTCAGCGACACAGTCCGTACCCCTCTCAGGTCAGCTCCGGTAGGGGCCTTCTGGCTGTCCTGCGGGCACCAGCGAAAGGTGTCATCAAAGATTTAGACGGAAGCCGCACCCGGCAGCTTCACAAAGCAGTCATGAACCCTCACAGTGGGCCATATGCCCCTCAAAGCACTTTAAATCTCCCTCAGCCTGTTCCTCACCTACCGGGCCCATCGAACCCTGGGGCCCAGGCGGCCCAGAAGCAGGGCATGGTGCACCCACAGGTGCTTCAGCAACAGCAAAGCTTGTCTCATCCAATGACTTTACAGCAGCCTCAAACTTTGCCTCACCCGCAGGCTTTGCAGCAAAGGATGGCTCATCCACAGGGTCTGCAGCGGCAACAGAGCTTGTCCCAGGTTCAGACTTCACAGCAGCAAAGATTGGCTCTCCCACAAGGCATTCAGAGGCAGCAGAGTCTGCCTCACACTCAGGCTCTACAGCAACAGCAGAGTCAGACACGTCCACCAGTGGTGCCGCAGCAGCATCTTTCTCATTTGCAGACACTAAAGCATCAGTCGGCCCCTCCGCAAGCTTTACTCTCGCAACAAGGAGTGACTCAGGACCTGCGCCACATTTCTGATGGAGCTCAGCTTTCAAGTCTACAGCACACCCAGGGCCAGGGTCTGGTTAGCTCACAGCCCCTTCCCCAGGCTGTGGGTGCAGGACCTCCTACCATGCCTAATAGCTTACAGCAGCAGCAGCCCCCACCTGGGGCGTATGGACCCCGGAAGCTCCCTGACGCAGACGCCCCACCAAATGTTACTGTATCTACCTCCACCATCCCACTGTCCATGGCGGCCAGCCTGCATCAGAACAGGCCTGGTGACCTGAGCAGCATCGTGCACCAAATCAACCAGTTGTGCCAGGCACGGGCTGGCATGGGCAACACCTCAGTATGTGAGGGACAGATCGCAAATCCAAGCCCCATCAGCCGCAACCTGCTAATCAACGCCAGCTCAAGGGTGTCCTCTCACCACCCGGGTCTGGGCTCTGTGCCCAACTGTCTCATGGTGGGACCCCCAGACAAAGCTACAGCTCAGACTTCTAGTGCTACTCTCCATTCACAGCCCACTATAGCTTCTAACAATAGTATACCTGCCTTTCACACAGACCCAGAGAAGGTACACCTGCAGCAGCAGCAGCAGCAGCAACAACACCAACATCAACACCAACACCAACAGCAGCAGCAGCAGCTTCAGCACCATTTACATCAGCAGAAACAACAGCAGCAACATTTACAGCAGCAGCAACATTTACATCAACTACAGCAGCTGCAGCAGCAGCGCTCCTGGGCTCAGCATCAACTGGCCCACATGCAGCAGCCTCCTGAAGGGGCCCATCCATGCAAGAACCCAAGGATGGAGCCTCCAACCGAGTGTTCTTTTCCGTCTGGGAACCTCAACTATCTTCACAAGCTACCAAACGCAGCACAGTCTTTTCCTCTAAAACACCCTGCAGAAAAACCAAGACCATCATCGCCTAGTAACTGCCCTGTGGGTTCTATGCCTTACATTAATGGCCACTACATGCCGCCATCATGGGGCAACATCCCAGCCACAGCAGGAAACAACGGATCAGGCCCTCAGGACCACCCAGTGGCTTTCCAGGGAGGGCAAGCTGCTGCCACCACTGAACGCATCCCAGGAGCAAAGTACCGACCAGGAAAGGAAGGTCATTCTGGCCAGTCCAAGTTGATGCAGAATGTGGATTTCTTAGGAGGGGACTTCCAGATACCCAGCTTTCAGGAGCAGAACATGGATGCGATGCAGAAGATGCACAGGTCAGCCATGGGCCAAGTTCAGGACCCTAACAACGGTGGAGGTCTCCACAGTCATCACCCAGGCTACCGCTAAAGCGGGCACTTTCCTCCCATGGTGTGTTTTTGAGTTTTTTCTCAATAGCTACTTTCAGCTACTGTGTTTTATTCTTTAAGATCTTGCAAGTGATCAATTCCAATCTAATGCTCCAGAGCTTGATTTGTAGACCCACCAGGTTGTGATATTTCAAAGTATTCCTCAGGTCTTGAGCCATGTCATACCTTTTGTTGCAGATGAAGGGTTTTTAGAGATTGTTATCCACTGTTGAGTTGGATTTTTCTTTCATCACTGGCATGGATATGCTGCTCTTTGTTCATGTGTATATATGGTGTTCTTAAAAATTAATTTGCCGCTGAGAATATGCTTGCCATGATTGTCACAGTGCTTTTCCTAGGTTGACATGGAACAACTCAACTTTTTTCAGCATTTGTGGCCTTACAACTGCCCAAAGGCAACATTTAGGATGTCCTTGTATCATGTCTTTTATTTGCATTTATTTATCATCTTAATAGGTTTGTGATCCATTTTAATAAGAAGGTTACATTTATATGCAATTAATAAGACTGTTGATGAGGTTTTTGTCCCTGAACCCTTCTAGAGTTCAAGGGTATGTCTGTTAATGGGCATCGGTGAGAGCCAAAACACTATCAGGAATTCAACATGGCTTCTGATACTGCACCATGACTGGTCCTGTTAGTTTTCACATGGGTCCATGGGTGAGCATGAGGTGCAAAAACAGCTGACTTTCACTGTTAAACAGACCTTTAGTTAAATCAAAAAGCGCTAGCAAGAAAAGCATCATTCTCGATTTCTGTGATTCATAAAACTTCGGAAATATAAAGTAGTTATTCTAGGTTTGGAAGGTCTGAAGTGCGCTTGTGTGTTATATTTAAAATAATGCTTTTGAAGTAGTTATTCTTTTATTACAGTTTTTGTCTTATTTCTTTTAGATGGTCCTACTTGAACTGTAGAAATTACTGTTTAAATGTTATCCCTAATATTTGGCAAAGGAGCAGAATCTCCATTAGCCCGTAGCTAATGTGAAACAGAACGGCTTCCCATTTATATTCAAATGATGTATGTATTTAAGTATGTGAAAAGCAAATTGATCACTTGCAAGCATGCAAGTACTTCAAATAATGCAAGGTGGGAACATTGCTTAATTTCCCCTCCGACACATTTTCTCACCACTTTACTACTGTACTACAAGTGAACTGATGTGATGTGGACAATATCTGTGTGGCTTGTGGTGGGCTGTTCATCTACTAATCACTAGCCCTGCGTTGTATTTCTGCTACCTATAAAGAAAAAAAGTGAGAACGTTTAATGCAGGTTATGTGTTGTGAGATGTGTCTAGCATGAAGCTCTGGACCCATTTCCTCCTCTAGTCTTTTTGGGTTTATGTTGTCTGGACACGTATTGGTTCTACATCCTCAATCCTTCTGGAAAAAAAGCCTTAAATGTCAAAGAAGTAATCTTCTACATAATATTTAGCTGAACTGACTTTCTTTAGCAGGATCCCACATTCAGTATGGCTTAACTGTGAGAAGGAGGGAATTATTCTTTTCTTCCATTCATTTGAAACCGGTTCTGCATCTGTGCTGTCAGATCATTGGGCAGTGCTAGCATGTCTAGCCACTGGGACTGGGAGCAATGTTGCCCTAAATTAAAATGTAAAGGTAACAATGCTACCCATGGTGTTGATAAATAACCCATATTCTTGTCCAACATGTTGCCTATCAAGGATTTAAGATTTTAAGAGTGAACTATGAATAGTATTTAGCAGAATAAATAGGTATGTAGAACAGGGCTTGAGCAGTTATTTTTAAAGTATTTGGACTGTGTTTTAGTTGTTATACTTAATAAATATACTTATTTAGTTTAATTTATTATTTTTGGACCACTGCATCCTGAAGCCATAGGTGTTTTCACATTAGGTGCCATAGGTGACACATATTTGCGCAGACGGTGTAAACTGCATTGTCTGCATTCATGGGTAAAAAAAAAAGGCTTGCAACCACGCTTTAATCTGATGTCTGTCACATTGCTCAGAATCTTTCCTCCTCAGAGTTTTTTCTCAGAATACAGTACAGGTGAAAAGGGAGAAAATGAGGCATCATCTTTAGAGAACAAGATATACGATGTAAGCGATAGCTTTTATGGATTTTGGTCTTCATTCTCGATGGCAGTTTTTTTTTTTTTCCCTGGCTCTCATTTTTGATGTGCCTGCCCCTTGAAGCTGCTATTGACTTTAATCTTAACACACACTAGTATGGTTTGTGTGTGCATGTGTATGAATAGTAAATGATATATGGGCTGTATCAGTGAAAATAAGTCCCTTTTTATGGGATGGGGGCAGGGTGAAAAGTCACAACTCAGATGCTGGTGAATTTGGTCATTTTCTATCAGGCTATTCTGAATAGATATTCACAGTGACAGTGATTTTCAGAAGTCTGACCTACAGAAGCCTAAAGAAATGACACCTGACAGGCCTGTTTTGGTTCCTTAATTTTAAAAATGAACACTAAACTACTTGACAGACCTGCCCCTTTTATTTTGAACTGCCTCGTTACAGCCCGCAAATAGTCAGGTTCTACAGTTTCATATGAAGTGCCTCCACTGGGCTTAGTATGGAGAAGCGTGTGAACGAGTGCTTGCGTGTGTGTCTGTTAAGCTTGGGTACTTGCACACAGGTGTGCACGCTAACAAAGGTGCACAGAGTTAATCTATGAGGGGGACCAAGCTACTTAGTGTAACTACTGATACTGTGTCATGGACTGAAGTCCTGAAGTGTGCCACGATTCCTAGACACTGTCGGGATGTGTGAACTGTTTGCTGCTGACTCACTGACCAAAGTGACCAAGCGTCCCCTCTCTGTAACCACCCCGGCCAAAAGCCTCGGCAAGCTTGTATTGGGGACTTTTGGTCTTCCAACAGTAATAAGCAACAACCTGGTGACATAAAGGAGAGCTGCTGCCCTCATTTGGACGGTCAAAGAAAATCTTGTGAAGTGTAAGTGTAAAGATGTGAACAGAGAATTATAAAATCTAGAGGGAGTTGTTCGTGCCTAATCATATGACCCACAGTAGGATTCAGATGTTGTAAGCATAACTTTATTGTTTAATTTTACAGTATTATCAGGCAGAGAAACTACGTCAATGAGCACTGTAAGAATCTAATCTACTTAAGCACATTGTAGCTCTCCATGTCAGTCGACTGAGATGGCAATATTTATTTGGTCACAAGCATTTAACAACTCTCTCTAGACTTATTTTTGCTCCCAATTAATGGGTATCTTTGATTTTCAAAGATATTTCATGTGAACAGTGGTGGAGGGGGGCTTACTTTCTCTACTTTGTGAAATGTGATATTCCAGTTTTGCCTAACCTTCAGGAATAAAATGTCTTGCACAAACATTCCCCCTAACCAAAATAAAGTTTGCAAACACAAAGCTTTTTACAAGTGATTGTCTTTTTTATGTACAGTATATTTACAGTTTTTATAAATAATTATTCAATTCACCACTTAATCACAAAGTTTATTCTACAGGTGTTAACTTTATACACAACAAGGACACTTTCCAACAGGGGAATTGGGGTAAAAATTAAAAAATCTGCACACCTGAATGTGTAGCAGGAGGGTAAAACTTAAGAAAATGAGAAGTGCTCCCGACCAGTGTCTCGCTTTATGCTGACATTTATTTGGAAGCATAAAGCGAGACAGTGTGCTGTTCTCATTGTCTTTAAGGTTTGTTAGAGATGGCATGTAGTATGCAAAATGTTACTTTTATTCCCACATAAAAACAGAATCAAAATGTTCAGATTATTAACCGGTTAAATGCTGGATGTTGTGATAAATTTAGGGAATGCTGGATTGCTGTGGTGGGTGCCGTCTTGCACGAATCCTCTGCAACAGTGGATTTAATTTCCAACGACTCCCTGAAAGATATAACTTATTTTAGTGACATTAGAGTTGTATAAAAACAGAGACAACAAATTGTGTGTGTGGTCTTGTTGCCATACTTGGAGTCTGGCTGTTGATCTGTTGCCTCATCATGCGATCCCCAGGGTCTTCCTCCCGGAGTCCCCCAAGATCTGACGTCCATTGTTTCCAATTCCTTTCCTCCACTCTAAAGTGGGAGAGGAAATACATAATTATTTAAATGACAATCTTCATATGCAGAAATTACATTTAAGGATTTTAAAAAATTTTTTAACTGTAATAGGATAATCCACATGGAGCGGCTACATGTGATATTATTTGACCAAGTAGCGTTGATTCTTTATCATACACCACAGCACAAAACCTCTAATAAATTGCTCAATAAAACCACTTGCAGAATTGAGGATTTCTTGATCTTTCTAGTTAGGATGAACATCATTAACGACACAGTTCACAGCTACCCCTTGAGGCAGCATCAGTATATATTTGCGAGGGGAGCTTTATGGTTTAAATGGCCCAACAACTGAAGACAAAACTCAAACCACAATGCCGGTGCAAGGAGCCGTTAAAACCATGCTCACTTTGGTGGAAAGAATGATGTAGGTCAGTTTTTCAGGTTTTGTACTGGAGACTTAATTAATGTAAATGGGCTATGTTACACAATACCATGTTAACAGTTTAGGGAACACCCTTTGGCTCCAGCATGGCTGTTGCCCATTTGACAGTTTGACCAATTTGGTTTGAAGGAACTTAATTAGCCTGCACAGAAGGATGACCTCAATTTAATATTTTGGAGAAATAAGAATGGGAATTGAAAGCCAAGCTCTCCAGTCCAACAGTGTGGCCACACAAATGGGCTCTTTGGTCTCCCCATATGAGTCTTGATTGTTTCAGTCACAAAGGGGGCCCAACAAGTGGCCTTGTACGACTTGTGGTTATATGATATGTACCTGAAAAATCTTCGACTTCCTATACACACCACGTTCGACTCTCCGGAGTACAGTTTACTCCTAAGGAAACTCGGCACAGACCTCTCAATGTCGAGAATTGTAACGGCTCTCTGAGGATGTGCAGCAAAACGTTTAGAGGTTAGCAAAACAATCATTTTAAATTCAAATACGATTTTTCACATTTCTTAAATTTGATTTTTTTTCACCCACTATCGAAAGACAAAGTTAAAGTCATACTGTCTTTTGACTTAAAGTTGATGTGTTTTATGTATTATCAGTAAGCATCAGTCGTAGGAATTATTCTACACATTCTATTCTATTACACAAACCAATCCTGGATATATTTTTTTAAGTTTTAAAAAAGCCTGTTTACAGACAGCTTCCCACCTGCAGGTTCCAGATGTTTTCACTCTCTTTGGAGATGCTTTCCACCGTGCTGCCCATCAAGGCTATGAGCATGTTGAGCAGCAGGATGTAGGTGAGAACTATGTACAAGATGAGCAGGATGTAGAAAACTTCCTTGTACTGAACCCGGTCAGTGAACCCCAGATCGCCCATACCAATAGTGAACTTGAACATTTCCAGTATTGTGAAACGGATGTTATTGTAACATGGTTTCTTGCATCGCTTGACCTTTCCTCGTGCCAGGGTGCCATTGGATTTATTTCTTATAGGGGCTTCCTCATGAAGAGCAACAATAGCTATGAATAAAAAGATCAAAGTCAGAAGCCTTTTACTTGGAAAACATTGATAGTCTTCATCCTGAATGTTTTATTAAAGGAATTTAGAGTCCAGGAAAGTCTTACCAGCAGAAAATCCAATAAGCAAGACGCTATAGACACATAGAAAGTGAAAAAGGTCGACCATGATCATCTGAAACGAGAAACAGACTTTTAAAAAACTATTTTTCACTATGTATCCCGATGCTAATTAACAGCCTGTCCTAACAGCAATGCGAGCGAGTGTCAGCAACAAAATCAGTCTGAATCTACTGCTTTCCATTGGAGTCTACTAACTGCCCTCGAGCAACATAGCGTTTTTATTTTCCTCTCGTAGACGGACGTAGAACGAGGAAAGAGGGGATTTATACACAGCAATGAAACTCGCTTTTTTCACTCAACAGAGCTTGTTGAACTAAGGGGAGATAACGGCTCATAAATAGTCTCCACATCCGTGATTGAAATGTTGTGCTTTGACTTATTTTCCGCTCACCACAAGCCATTTATTGACGAGCCTCTGTGTTGTGATTTGAGCCAACAGCTCCTAAATACAAAGCACCACACTTCAGTTTGTCCACCTTCAATACAAAAGGGGAAGCTGAAATTCACAGACCAAAAAGTTATATATTTAACAGATGCAATTTTGGACAGCCAGCGTGCGATCATGCGCGATGTGGCGCGATATATACAACGCTTGCGTGCTGTTAGGACACGGTGTAAAACATAATTCTTACTCTTTGCATCATGACGCTGTACATCCCCATTTCTTTAGAACCTCTTAAGTAGTGAAGAACGTTGATCCAGGCAAAAGCAAGCGAGAGCACAAGGATGCCAACGTACTCTCTCCTCCCACAAAAGTACAAAACTGTGCAGATCAAAAGGAGTGAAGCCTGCAGGAAACTAAAAAAGGTAGAAATGGTGAGAAGGCATACATTCACAAAAGTTTTAGCTTTTAAGATCTCATGGTGATACCTACAACATGATGTCACTGAATCCGTCCATGTACAGAGCCTTGAACCTTGGGGGCTTCCTAATGAACATGGTGATCTGTGAAATTAGAAGTCGCATTGAAAGAAAGAATTAGCTTTGAATGAATTCAGATTCTTTTTGTATGAAAAATTGGAGCAAATAACATTTTCTCACCGTTTTATAGAAAATCCACACTGCTCCAAGGACACACATGATCTCACCGATGCATCGCAGGGAGTCAACTGTGACATTTTCAACAGGAAACGGTGGCTGCAGATCAAAAAGTTTCGGTCCATGCTTAGACTTAAAAAATACCTAGTTTGTCCTGTTTTGACAGAGAGGTTGGTGTTGTGTGTTTTGCACTACCTGTCCTTTCTTTCTGTAGAAGGCCACAGCGGTGAAGATGAACACGTATATCAGATAAACCAAGAAATTCATCAGGAATACCTTGGAAGCAAACCTGTCCCACTTGCCCTGGAGAACACTGCAAAGAGGCTCAATCTGCAGCATCTCTGGTCGATTCTGTGGTGGGTTTTTTAGAGGAAATGTACACATTAAAAAACACTAACTTAACTGCAATCACAGTTCTTTGTTAAAGGCTTTATATGCAATTTTTTGATCCAGCAGATGTCGCCCTTGAGCACCAGCATGAAATCAAAACAACTTGCGGTGCATTGTTGTGTTAGCATGCTAATGCTAGCGATCTTTATCATGCTGGTATCTTCACACTGCATGTAAATTTACCTGAAATGAGCGTGATCTAGAAACACAGTTAAGCAGTGAGTACAGTATGTTATTCTTCTTTTCTCTAGTCCCTCAATTAAACAACTTTTATACACGAGGGGAGGAGTCAGCCGGCCGTCCGGGCGATGTAAACAAAGTGAAGATAGGACTCTGAAAACTCTGAAAGCATCACAGACAGTCGGACTCAGGTGTTACACCCATTGTAGACAGTCATGACTCAGGATATACTTGATTTCTATTATATTTAAGTGTGAAAAATCCCATATAAAGCCTTTAACTTTATCATCAAACAGGGCGATGAAGGACTGTTTGACAAACATGTCAGTATACTGCTTCAAAATATCCTGTCTCTGACACCGCTCCTCACTTTCATAAAACTACTCTTTAAGTGTAGACTTTCTTGGACAATGTTACCTTTGCTGTCGCCATTGTTATTTATGGAATATTATTTTGTCGTCTCAAGTTTGACGGATGCCTTCTCCGCTTTGTGAACCATAACTATGACCATATATATGTACAAGAGAGAGGATGCTCATTGTTTCATATCTATCCTGGTTAACAGGTCACCATGGTCTCAGCCTGTCCATCACAGGTAGTCTTAATGATCTTAAGTAGACTCTTTTTACTGTGGATTTCTCTCTGAATGCAACCATCATTATGCTGTACTAAAGGATGCATAAAACTAGTGATTTAAACTTTGAACCTCTTTAGAAAAAAGCTTTCTTTACTGGGGTTATGATTCAAAATGATTTGAAGGCTAATTTTCTAATTGACTTCTATAAAGTCTGACAACTTTTTTTATTTGTTTCTTTTGTCTCATTCCAGCTTTATTTCTGCAAGCACAGTCTCCACAGCTGTCTGTTCAACATGAGTCGAGTTCTGCTCGAGGTTTCAGCCTGTTAAAGAAAGTTTTTATTTGCCACTAACACTTAGTGCTTTGCTAATTTTGGATGAGTAATGGGTCTGAGATAACATTTGTTATGAATTGGCGCTATAGAAATAAAAAACTTTTTTGCGATCCGTGGAGTTTCCCTCTGCTGTCCATCAGCAAGAATGAAGGTGTTAGGCAATTGCTCATTGGCTTTGGTCTTCAAAGGCTACTTTCACCTCTAGTATACAGTCTAAAA